CATGAATAAACAACTGTATGATGATCAAAAAAAGTGCTGTTAAAGAGAAGTGCTATTGAAACAATTCCACTGATTAGGTAAATAGAGATTGAATTAATAATATTAATTGTTGATCCTGTATTGATTCAATAAACATTTTTTGAGCATCAGTTATATTTGAGGCAGTGAGCTGGACAGTAGAGCTATAAAGACTAAGTCAAAATTCACTGTTTTTCTAAGGAAGGAGGAAAATACATAGATAGGTGTATCAATCAGTGTCCTATGGGTCAATGGTATGAACAGGGGATCTGAAAATAGAAACCTGACAGGCTACTAACTATATGAAAAAAGTGCTCAGCATCTCTAGTAATCAAAGAAATACAAATTAAAACAAAAAGCTACACTTTGCCTCCCTCAGATTGTCAAATCTTAGGAAGTTGCGTAATAAGAATTGTTTAATGGTTATTGAGAAACAGGACTTACCTGATCACAGTAGGATCTGCTGTAGCCATCCAGGAGAACAACATGGCAGGATTCAGAAGAAGGCTTACAATCATACCTTGGTCCAGTGGTCCCACCCCTGGGCATGTATGATAGGGAAATTCATACTCAAGTCCATGATACTATATAGAAGTTTTAATGTCAGCACCTCAAGCAGTTTGAGGCAACCTGCATGCCCATCACTAGAGAAATGTATAAGGAAAAATGTCACGATTTGCTTACTATGGAATTAGAAGCAATACATTTGAAATAGCTAAAGCAACATTAAAATATGATATTGAGTGAAAAGTAAAAAGAAACAGAACAAAAGCTAGAAGAGTATCATTTAGTAAATTAAGATCATTAGAAAAGAAAAATCTTCCATTTTCCAGAGTTGCATATCTAACCAAAGAAATAGTCTAAGCAATTCAAGCAAGTTCTAAAGGACAGAAGGGATAACAGAATGTGAGAATTAGAAATGAAAAGAAGGAAAATAGTCATAAAATAAAAGTAAGAGAGGGAGCTTGCAGAGACTGGTGAGGATGTTGGTTATAGTCTGAGGAATGTGATTAACTCAGCTTTCCACTTGACTTTCAAAAAACTCTAACTCAAACAGGCAAATAAGAACAACAGAACAGAATAAAATGACATGAGGCATGCTATGGAAGCAGAGATGAGAAAAATCCGGCTAGGCCAAGAGCTATCAAAAGGGCTTCTTAGAGTTGATGATGCTGAAGGTTAAGTAGGAGGCCCCAAGTGAGAAATGTGAGGATGTAAGGATGAGGGGATATGAGGGAGGTGCTTTAAGTAGGAGGTGCTTTAAGCAAGGGGGCAAGATTAAAAATTTTATAAAGGACTTAATTATGTCAAGGATATAAGGAGGTAGGGCCTCACATAAAGGAAAAAAAAAAAGACAGTAAAAAATGGGAGCAAGGCATAAATTCAAAAGATACTTAAGAGGTCGCATTGACAGGTCACGGTTTCCCACTGGCTGCAGGAAGCATGGGAGAGGCAAGAGGCCAGGAGATGGCTCAGAATTTTAACTTTAGCACTTAAGTGTTGGTAATATGGGTAAAACAGGATGTGGAGAATTTTGGAAGGAAATATGGCAAGTTCTATTCCATCAAAATTACTTTCCTGATGAAACTCTTCAATGTTTCTCTATGACTTAACGGACTAAAGTAAACTCCCTGTGTCTTCCATAAGGACATTACGATGAGACCTCTGCTTCTATATACCTCTCCAGCCTTATGTGTAAATCTGTCGTGCTATGCTTTAATAAAACCAAGATCCTCGTAATACCTGGTGAGGAATTTAGTATTGAAGAAAATGTTTCCTTCTAAATTTAATACACAAGAGACACTGGGGATGTTTACGAGATGGATGAGGACCAAGCCGACAGAGATAGGTTGTGGTGTACAAGGGTGAGACAATACATAATGGACCAAATTTTAAGACACATAAGAGAAGAGAGGCTTTAGAAGGGTTTCCTAATATGGCTTATGGATTCTAAATCAAGAGGTCTGGAGTGAGCCTGAGAATCTGCATTTTGTTTCATTGTAAAAGGATATGTTCATAATGAAAGAATTAAATGGTATCCTAAGCACATAATGTTAAAAATAAATGACCCTTTTTAAGCCCCTTCTTCTTGGCCCAGTAACTGACACTTCATGTATAATTTTGGAAGGCTAGATGGTGAGTTGCATACCATTAACATCATTCCCCTGATTAAACTCTTCAACGTTTCCTCATGACCTACAGATTAACGTATATATATAATCATCTTTCTAAATAAATGGAACTATATTCTCTTATATTTATGTCTTGCTTTGATCATATCATCTTCTAACTATATAACTTTCCACAACAATGCCAGAACACATTTATCTACCTCTTTCTTTTAACAGCTGCATACTATTCCATTGTAACAGTATTTTATAATATATTTAATCAATCCTCTGTCAATGAATTCTTTTAATATTTCTAGGGTTTTATGTTTTGCTATAACATTTCTGAATAAACATCCTTGAGTAAACCTCTTTGCACATTTTTATAACTATAGCTGAGATATAAATTCCTATGTGTAGTATCCCTAAGACCAGCATTTCTTCATTTCAAATCTTTATAAATGTATATAAATTTTTATAGATATAAATTGCCCTCCAAGGAGGTTACCCCAACAGTCCAACCAATAATGTCCAACAACTTTCACACTGTGAACGGACAAATGGTTTCCATTGCTTGTGTTTGCATTTTTTCCTCAATCTAGGTTAACACTCATCTTTGGGTGACTTGGATTGTCTTAAGGTGCCTTAGGATGATGACTTAGGGCCAGGATGCTGGGTCATGGAATGGCTGAACCATCTCCTATACCTATCTCCACTAATGGCAAAGTGTTTGCATTTTTAAATTGGGAGGTTGAATACTTTTCATATGTTTAAAGTTATTAACATTTAATTTGTCTTTTATCTAACTAATTTATCAATGCTTTAGACTGTTAGTCTTTTCATCTTTCCTTATTTCTTTTCAAAACTCTTTTATATTAAGGAAATTAGGTAACTTTCTATCACGTGCTTTACAAATATTGTTTCCAAATTTTTATTTATTTTTTTATTTTATTTATTTTTGTGTGTGTGTGTGAGGAAGATTAGCCCTGAGCTAACACCTATCTCCAATCCTCCTCTTTTCGCTGAGGAAGACTGGCCCTGGGCTAACATCCGTGCCCATCTTCCTGTACTTTATATGGGACGCCACCACAGCATGGCTTGACAAGCCGTGCGTCAGTGCGTGCCCGGGATCTGAACCCCGGGCCACCCCACATGCGCACTTAACCACTATGCCATGGTGCTGGCCCCCCCCCCAATTTTTATTTTTACTTTTATTTTTTCTACGCAAAAATTTCAAATAATTATGTAGTACTTACGTATATTTTCTTTATAGATTCTGAGTTTTGGGTCCTATTTATTAAGGCCAATCCCCTCCTAAGATATTGTTTTTTAAAAAATCCTTAAAGATAACTTGCTTTCTAAGCAGAACAACCCATTTGTTTAAATGCTATTTATACTATGAAGGTGCTTAGCAAATTATTTTCTACATGGATTTCAAGGGAAGACCACTGCCCCATCTGTATCTCTTTGTAATTAGTGGCACTTAAATGAATAGACATTTCTGAATTTTGAAATGCCCAATAAATAACTTCTCAACGATGCTTACTTTCTGATTCACACAACTCACATCGATTTTGTCAATTTGTTTTTCCTACAGATGCTGTATCTCCAGAAATATGTCACAGCTCCTTTGATGAACTCTTAACTTTCTTTCCGTCCTTTATGAAAGATCTCTCAATTGTCACCTGACTTCAGTGTTATTATCTGAAAGATGCTGACTATGTTTTTACTTAAAGACAACAGAGTTGGGCAGCAGAAAGTACACTCAGGTTTAATAATTGCTTCTTTACCCACCCATTGCTGCCACCAGAGCATATGCCTCTCATAGACAGGGACATTATCTTAATCATCACCAAATACGCAGCCTACATCACAATGCCTAATATAGAGACATTGCTTGATAGGTATATGAGGACAAAGTGAATGAGTGAATGATTGAACAAACTAAGGTTCGTGGTCTTATATCTGTCATTGACTTGATATGTGACCTTATATAAGTTATTTAATCTTTCTGGGCTTCAGTTCCATCTTCTGCCAAACAAATATAAATCCTAGCCTGACTGTACCAAAGATTTGGCAGGAAGAGGAGTAACATAATAGACTTGGCAGTGATTTGAAAAATAAAACATTCATAAAATTTACATAATCACATCCATATGTATTTAATAAGTAACTTCTTTTGCAGGATATGGAATATTGGAAGTGCTAACCATGTGACACTTACTACAAGCATAAAACAGAGATCAGAGAAAAATAATAGTCATTGGGGGGAGTGTATTGGCTAATAAAGTATTATTATCTTATCTTTATTATTATCATTTTCAGTATCATTATGGAAAACACTTAGAGCTACCAGGTGGAAAGGTGCTATTGACTATAAAAGTCACACATTCAATATAATAAGTTTTATATTTTCTTTCATAATTTTATCCTCCCATTGGTTTATTAATTTTTATGTCTGTACCAGAACCTCTTGATGCTCAGAAAATTTCCTTTATAATTTTGGTTTATTTAGTTCAATTCACCAATATTATACTCAGTTTAACTGATTGATGACAGATAGATAGATAGATAGATAGATAGATAGATAGATAGATAGACAGACAGACAGACAGATATATTCATGTCTAGGCATGGACACATTCAGAATGTTATCAGACTTCAAATATATTGCTGGCCTGAAAGGATCTTTTGAATCCTCCATTTGAAGCTTTTGCCTTTTATGTGGAGAACTGGGGCAGGGAGGCACAGTAAACATGTAGGGCAAGGAAGGAAGATTGTGGAGAAAAAATGTAGTTCAAAAGGAAAAAATCTAATACATTTTAAAGCAATGTTTCTATTATATTTGTTAATTTCTTCTATTTCCTTGCAGGTTTAAATGTGTATTTGTCTTCTTGGCTCCTGATTAGAGAACACAAAATGAATAACTCAACAAACTCCTCTAACAATGGCCTGGCTCTGACCAGTCCTTATAAGACATTTGAAGTGGTGTTTATTGTCCTTGTGGCTGGATCCCTCAGTTTGGTGACCATTATTGGGAACATCCTGGTCATGGTCTCCATTAAAGTCAACCGCCACCTCCAGACCGTCAACAATTACTTTTTGTTCAGCTTGGCCTGTGCTGACCTCATCATTGGTGTTTTCTCCATGAACTTGTATACCCTCTACACTGTGATTGGCTACTGGCCTTTGGGACCTGTGGTGTGTGACCTTTGGCTAGCCCTGGACTATGTGGTCAGCAATGCCTCAGTGATGAATCTGCTCATCATCAGCTTTGACAGGTACTTCTGTGTCACGAAACCGCTCACCTACCCAGTCAAGCGGACCACGAAAATGGCAGGTATGATGATTGCAGCTGCCTGGGTCCTCTCCTTCATCCTCTGGGCTCCGGCCATTCTCTTCTGGCAGTTCATTGTAGGGGTGAGAACTGTGGAGGATGGGGAATGCTACATTCAGTTTTTTTCCAATGCTGCTGTCACTTTTGGTACAGCCATTGCAGCCTTCTATTTGCCTGTGATCATCATGACTGTGTTATACTGGCACATATCCCGAGCCAGCAAGAGCAGGATAAAGAAAGACAAGAAGGAGCCTGTGGCCAACCAAGATCCAGTTTCTCCAAGTCTGATACAAGGAAGGATAGTGAAGCCAAACAACAACAACATGCCCGGCAGTGATGATGCCCTGGAGCACAACAAAATCCAGAATGGCAAAGCCCCCAGAGATGCTGTGACTGAAAACTGTGTCCAGGGGGAGGAGAAAGAGAGCTCCAATGATTCCACCTCAGTCAGTGCTGTCGCCTCTAATATGAGAGATGATGAAATAACCCAGGATGAAAACACAGTTTCCACTTCCTTGGGCCATTCCAAAGATGAGAACTCTAAGCAAACATGCATCAAAATTGTCACCAAGACCCAAAAAGGTGACTCATGTACCCCAACTAATACCACCGTGGAGCTAGTTGGTTCTTCAAGTCAAAATGGAGATGAAAAACAGAACATCGTAGCTCGAAAGATTGTGAAAATGACTAAGCAGCCTGCAAAAAGGAAGCCTCCTCCTTCCCGGGAAAAGAAAGTGACCAGGACGATCTTGGCTATTCTGTTGGCTTTCATCATCACTTGGGCCCCATACAATGTCATGGTGCTCATTAACACCTTCTGTGCACCTTGCATCCCCAACACAGTGTGGACAATTGGTTATTGGCTCTGTTACATCAACAGCACTATCAACCCCGCCTGTTATGCACTTTGTAATGCCACCTTCAAGAAGACCTTTAAACACCTTCTCATGTGTCATTACAAGAACATAGGCGCTACAAGGTAAAACATCCTTGTAAAGATGGAAGGTGATCAAGGGGAGCTTGGGAAGAAGAAAAGGGATAAAAGAGCTCCTAGTTTTAAAATCTCTGCCATTGCACTTTATAGTCTTATTATGGAATGTGCAATTAAGGAGCCCAACAGTGACACTCTTACGGTGCCTATGCTCCAGTTTGAGAAACTTGCACCTTATAAACCCTGTCAGTTTAGGAGCAATGAGGCCATGAAAGAGATGTGTTGGACTTGTGGATTTAAGGAACTGTCTACGCTTTCTCATACGCTCTTGAAGAAGGGCTTTTGAATCTACAATTTTATCTCTGCACAATAAGATTAATAACCTCGCTCCATTTTTTTCATTTTTTTTATTTCCCGTGTGTCCATATGAGGATGAAATGCCACAATTACAAGTTAACATGCAGACTTAAACAGAAAGAAATAGACATACACTGAGGAAGTGAAGGAAGAAAATCAAAAAAGGATGTAGAAATGGTCTCCAGAGTGTTAACCATATATTATTCTTTTGTTATGATTTTATTTGGAAAAATGCAACATAACAAATGCTTATTTTTTTACCTTCCCCTTTTCCCACTATAGAAAGAAAGAAAACAAACAAAAAACCTGACTAGATCACATTATTATTTTTCTCGTTATGGCATTGGTGTTTGTACTGCCCTGTTCTACTGTGTGTAAGGGCAGAATCTGCAGGACTTTCACTAAATACAGCCAGAGACAGCCATGAAAATGGGCATTTCACCCCTGCCCACTGTGTTTTTTGCATTCTTTGGGGGTATAAAAGCCTATAAGGATTTAGTTCACTTATGGTCCTCTATGTGAAATGTTTTCACCAATCTGGTTTTATCCTAACTAGCCTCCTATTTTAATAGAATAGTCTACCTAATACATAAACTTGCTTAAGAAACCAAAGTCAATTTTTAAATTGAGATTTTGTCAAATTAAATAATGGTCATTCTAGTTGGAGAAAGTTTGCTGAGGCCAGATGAATTTTGAGATAAGAAAATAGAAGGCTGAAAGGGCATTCTGTTTCAACCTGAATCTACCTGACCCATGTATGAAATGCTAACTTGTAAAACATGAACTCCTGGCCTTTGTCAGCAGGAAGAAGATGCTGCCTTATTCATCTGGAATCCTAAATAGGATTAACGTACTCTCCTGGCACCAGTGACTTCTGGGTCAGTCCCAAGAGATTAAAACCTTCTCTTCAATGCCTGCTAAAGGATGATATTCAATTTATAGTCAAGTCAGGTTGTTTATAACTATCCTATGACCAGTAGAGGGGGAAAAAAAAGAGTAATTCAAAAACATTTGCTAAAACCGCATGTTCCATATTTCTCAAATTGTCAGTTCTCTCTAAAATTTTTTAACTTCAAAATTCTATCGATAGAAATGTAGTAATCTTTGTGACAGAAATGTAGTGGATCACTAAACCAAAGCCAAGCAAACTCAGCAGAATCTGAAAAAAGAATGTACGTGGCTGTACCTGTGTCACTTCTCACCATTTCTCTAATTCTAGACTATAAAATAGTCGTGTCAGGAACTATTACCTAAATGGTGGCTTTATAAAGAATCCTGTCCATGTAGAAACTTTTTATTTGATACCCCAAATAAATATATGATTATATCGATTCACATTTAGCTAGTTATTTTTATCCCTCAACTTTTTTCTTATTATATTTGCTATAATCTTCCAATCAGATTTTCTAAAGATAGCCCAATTAATAGAAATCAAATTTATAAAAGCTTTTTCAAATTTCATACTTTGCATTTTAGATTTATGGGCTTTATGATATCTTGATCAGTAATATCAATGGGATTTGCATGATGAATTTGTCAGTATTAGACCTTAGCACTTTAATTAGAGTTATTTTGTGTGACTTGGCTTATTGATGGCGTTTCAATCTTGAGAGTTAAAAAAAAGCACAAGGCAAACAACAGCAAAAAATCAGTTAGTAAGAAGCAAATTTCCAGCAATGTTTGTATGGAACTTATCTTATATAAAAATAATTTCTTGTTTGACTAACTTGTTGTTCCCCCCCAAGTCTTCTATGTATAAACATACAGCATCTGTTCATACAGATTACTTTACAATTACTTCAGTGTAAACTTACATTTTAAATCTGAAATTATTTTTCAAATCAGCGAATCAATTGAGTGGAAGGGACATCAAGCCAATGGGCTACTCGGTTTCCTGTAAACAAAACAATTGACTGGCTGAATATTTCACTTATTAACTTGTTGTACCATTATGATGTAGATTCAGCTTCAGTTGAGATGAACTCTTTGGATTCAAGGATTCAGGATTCTGGATTTGGGTCTTTTTTTGTCTGCTCTAACAATCCAAATCACCATGAATTAAACTGCCTCTTACTCTCCATTGCCATTACATCCTTCCCTGTCTTCCTTCTATTCTTGATCTTCGCCATAGCCACCATAACCTTATTGAAAGAGAAACTGTCAAGCACTAAAGAAAGGAATTGCATATAGACTGACACATCATGGAAGCTTTGTCAACTGGAATCAGAAAAAAAGGAAAGAGTACTGAAAATGGTAGATGATTTAAAAAATATGGAGACTATATTCAAAGGTTTGCGTTAACTATTTCTGGATTTGTCTATTTCAGTGGCTGTTAACTAGGGACGATTTTGCCCCCCAGGGGACATTTAACAATGTGTGAAGACATTTTTGATTGTCACGACTTGGGGGAGGGCTCTTGGCATCTAGTGGATAGAGGCCAGAGATGCTACTAAACAGTTCACAATGCACCGGATGGCCCCCACAACTAAGAATTATTTGGCTCAGAATAGTGCCACACTTGAGAAACCCTGGTCTATTTTAAGGGATTCTAGAGCTTGCTTTGTATAATTGGGAAAATAATCCTGTATCACTATTAGAATGTCAATGCAAATTGCTCACCTGTTTGAGAAAGGTAATGCTCACCAACCATGTATCAGACACACTGTCATCCATTGAGTCTGGTGTATTTGTAATTCACATATTGGGAACACAGGACACATCTACGTATCCAAAGTCACCAGACCATGCACATAGCACATTGTTTCCACCATCTTAATGTCCAATGGTGACTGCCACAGAGTCCAGTCAATTGAGGTTGCACTAGTTGGCCGTTAAAATGGTTGTAGTTGATACAGTCAGTTTCTATTGAAGCTGCCATTTTTCCTTTCAAAAACATTAAGGGCCTCTTTCAGAGACAATATGATTCATCTCCTTATTTTCACTGAAAAGGTGAACATCTGTCAAGAATTTCTTCTCTCCTCATAGCAATAATGTAAATATCCCAGAGTGGTCTTATTAGAAGAGGAGATTAAGAAAGTGAAAAAGCCAGTTCATTTCTTGAAAAAAAGAAAGAAATGATTGCTCTTTCACCAGTTCATTATTTAATTTAATCCTAGCTCCCAAGTGTTAGGACAAAGTCACCAATATAATAAGTCACGTGGGATACGCTTTCTTGTTTGAATGTGGAAGCTGGAGGTCCCACAAGCTCTTTGTCCCTTCACTGCTTTTTTGACCCTGAAGATCTGACACTGGGGGAAATGGGAGTTCAAAATGATGGCAACATATACTTAGAAATGCAATCTAATTTTATTTTCTCCTACTTAGTTCATCGGTAGTTACCTTTTCTCCAGTTTGATAAGATCCCTTTCAACAACCACAGTACTGGTGTTGCAAATAGATTAGGGAAGCACCCAAAGCTGGATGAATTGTGCAAAGTGTATTTTCAGCATGTATATACAATACCGTGCCTCTTAAATATGCTTCTCTTAAAAGGGTGCACGCCGCAGCATGAACTGTGTGCATATTTAATGTATCTTCCTGGAATATGCTGTATGCTTAATATACATATTCTATAAATAAAGTAATGAAATGTATAATAGAAATACATATTTCTGTATGCAAATAAATATATTATACACAAAATCTTAACATGCAATATGGTATCTGTTGCTTCAGAGTAACAAAAGTAGATTTTATATGCCCAATTTTAAAAGAAAGTAGTATTTGCTTTTGAAGGAAGAGGTTTAAGAACAGCCAAAATCTTACCCATATTACTATTAAACTGCGTTATAACCTTTGACAGCATGGCACTGATTTTAAATATCTCTTGGAGGACTATATTAATAAATCTTTTTTGGTGTGACCCCATGTGACAACAATACTTTTTGCTCCTGTGCTCCTGACAGACCTCTGACTAGAATCTTCCCAGCTGTTACTATTCCAACAGCTGTGTTGATCTCATGTCTGATTGCCTGATGAGATTGCAACCAATTCATTGACACACAGCTTTGCTCTCCTCTAAATTAACTGATTTTTGTCAAATAAATAATCAGACTGGGAGGAAAGGATGACCTTCAAAATGTTTTTCATTTTGAAAAACAAGGTAAAAATTGTTCAAGAACTGTATTTTATAAACCATTCTTTTCAGTTTGGGGCCAATACAGTATCCCGTATATCAAATGTTTAGTGTGGTACGCTATTGCAAGTTTCTTCAGGAAATGATGAAATAGGCGGCTTACTTCTGAGGGTCCCATGTTTTCTCTACAGCAATTCCCTTCCTTTCCTTGTTGCTCACTCAACTTCCCACATTCCCTGAGCGTTTTCTTTTGCCCATTAGCGCGAGTTCTTTGTTAGTAAATATCGTTATGATATTGGTTGATACTGGGCGTGCAATCCCAAGATATGCTTGCATTTTAATAGAAAAATCTTAAACACCGAACATTTGAAAGATTTCTATTAGTCTTTAGATACCAAGGCATACAATGGGAGACACATTTTTCAGTGAATTCTAGTTTTCTTCAAATTTTATGATATACTTCAATGTCTACCCACTTCCTAAATTTTACCTTTTATGCCACAATCCACCCTTGTGAATTGCTGTCCCTTATCTGAACCAAATCGTTTCTTTAAAAAAAATTGAGTTTTCTATCAATTCTCATTAGTTTGTTATTGTTCCAGTGAAATGTTCTCATTTCATTTTTTTAGAATTTGAATTAAATACTGTATGATGAATTGTCAAATGCTATTTCTGGCTAGGTGGTTGCAAATACTGAGACAGGAAAAATATCTTGCCATCATAAAGGAGGAATTTTCTACTTTATAACATATATCAGTCTTTTTCAACCAAAAATGGAAGAAGCAGAAAGCGGTAAGTTGTGGAACACAGATATTTATTAAACAGGTGACATTCTAGAAAAATCTGTTCTTTGACTTCCTAAACACACTCTCACACAATAAGTCATGGGAAACTGCAAAGAAAAAAAAAAAGGTATCTATTTTCTCTACTTGCACCATTTATGCAGCAGCTCATCTGAATCCTTAAATTACTTTTGTAATAAAAATGTGGATATCTTTGGAAGTTTTATTGAAGATGTTTTTTAAAAAATGAGTATCCTTTTCAAGTTATTATTACAAGACAAAGGATGGTGTTAGTGAATAAATTATGTGTCTGTGTCCAGAAACAATTACAGTAGACGGTAGAGGTGACTAATTTAAATCTGGATAATAGTTTGACTATTTGTATAAAAAAATAAACGCTATAATTCACT